CGGGGCGGCTGTGGCTCAGGTGGTAGAGCAGCTCAGCTCCTGATCGGAAAGTTGGTGGTTCGATCCCAGGCTCCCCCAGTCTGCATGCCAAGTGTCCTTGAGCAAGATACTAACCCCGAGTTGCCCTCCGATGCGTTCATCAGAGTGTGAATGTAGATTAAGTTGGCACTTGCGTTTAGAAGTGCTTGCATGAGTGGGTGAATGAGGCATGTTGTATACGGCGCTTCGAGCACTCCGGGAGAGTAGAAGCACAATGTAATCAGTCCATGCTGCTTTCCTGTCTGTGTTGGTCTAAACAGACGCGTGAAGCCAGAATTTTGGATGAACTGTGCAGGTTCTGAGGAGCACGATAAACAGTTATAATTATTTATGAAGTCAGATGACACAAATGAATTCGACATCAGGAGACATGTCTGCAAGACCTAAAGACCTGGATGACCTGCCAACTTCTACTCCTGAATGAAGAAGTAGACGAACGTCTTGCCCAGCAGACTGGAGGAGGCCACTGGTAGTTGACCCACTGCCTCCTGAGCCACAGCCACCCCGAGTATCCACTGACCCAACATGATATCTCTAAGTCTTCCTACCAAACCCGGTGTCACAGTGCAGTGTTAGAAAAAAACAGTCTTCATACATTTCACTATAAACGTCATGTGACCATTCTTACCCCAGTACGCTTCCCAGCCAGCATCTTGGATCCCTCCTGATACTCCCACTCGTGGATCAAACGCCTCCTCATCAACTATGACATAAAAACATCATGCATGATTAGGGATGGGTACCGGTATCCGGTGCCATGATGGCACCGGTTCTGACATAAACCGTAGTAACCAGACCGAAAAGCAGCGCACATTTCGGTGCTTTTTTTTCCTGAGCTGTGATACACATTGGATTCTAGCCAATCACTTTACGTTTCCGAGGATAGTAGGCGGGGCCAGGTACGTACGTTCTTTTAGAGCAGAGCTACAGATTAAAAATGCCCAAGGTGAAGCGGTCAAAGTCTGGCTGTACTTCACAG